GCTCCCATTGGGCTTTCCAATTAGCAGGAGAACGCATTCATGATGGAAGGACCTTCTGTTGAAGCAATCACACAAACTCTGTGTTGTCTTGCACCTATCTGCTACGAGAAGCAGCCCTTTCCAGGGAGAGGAGCTGCCTGGCATTCTGGAGAGAAAACCCATCAGCCTCAGCATCTTGATAGACCCTTGGCTAATGAAAGCCAAGTCTGTAGAGCTGGTCCTGGTCCAGAAGATGGCCTGTGCTGTAATGTCAGATGAGCTGGGTAACCACAACAAGGGCATTTCTGGTTCACTGAGTGGTATTTGCCAGGTAAGACTAGGTAGGACCATCCCTTGACCTGGTGGGACTCCATGCAGCATCCACGGAGGATATTCATATAGGGTTTCGAATTAATATTGCACACCCCAGGCAGTGCAGCAGGTTTTTTGAGGTGCCAGATTTGTGCTAAGACCATCCAGAATCTACTTAACATAATCTGGCATTTCATAACTCTTAAAATTCTCTCCTATGGTTCTCTTAATGGCATGCAAAAACACAGACGTCGGAAGGAGGGAACACAAAAAAGATGCTAATGACCTTTTAATAAAAATTATAGACAGGATTTCATGGCAGAAGAAGGCGTTCATTTCCAATCGCCTCGCTTAATATGGAAATAAGGGGCAATCAGTCAGAGCCAGTCACACCCGCAGCGCAGAGCAAGAAAAGTCCGGGCTGATGGTGTGGGGGAAGACACAACAGCAAGAGGCAGCTCTAAATGCTTCATTTGAATGTTCTCCCCCTCTAGCACTGTTTGCCTTTTCTGTGGTGCCTCTTTTCTTCCAGGTCTGCTCAGAAGCTGGCACTCACCAGCAGCGGTGGCAATGTGAGCCTGCGGCTTGTGAGCTGGGAGCTTGGTCAGTGGGAGTGGGATATCCAAGAGACCTGACCCTGATCCGAGCCAGAGGGACTTCTCCAAGAAACAGAGATTTATATTTCATCAGTTGCATTCAGTTTCCTTCACAGTTTTGGGATTCCTCTGAGCGGGGCACACCTCATGGCTCCGGGATGCGCTTTCAAGCCCTTGGCATCCTCAGTGGGGTCTTGGTCCTCAGAGGGAAGTTTCCAAACCCAGCAGCAATGACTCCAGCAATGCCCCTGCTAACAGTACTGTGCTCCTGAGGACAGGGTGTGTGCAGAGGACTTGCTGCTGTGCTTCGTGCCTTGATGCCCAGCCCATGTCCAAGCCCTCACGCTGCCGCTGCCTGCTCACAGCATTGCTCCCGCAGCCGGCGTGAGGTCAGTGCATAGCTCTGAGGATGGGAAGATCTTTGTGCCAGGGGTGATCTTTTTGAAGGGATGATTTTCTAGAAGGGATGAATGAGAACAGGGTCGTTTCCATGTTGGTGTGGTTGAGTGCCAGCAGTTTGACAGGCAGGAGGGGAGTGACAAGCTACTGGGTGTTGAAAGTGGCCATGGTGGAAAAAAAGAGCTTGGGAAGTAAGGGACACAGAGCTGATCTCTGCCTTCATTTACACACCAGCAGACTTTGGGTCATGCTAGTGGGCAGAGCTTGGTGACAGCCCTGAACAAGCAGGAGACCAGTGTTGTTAGCAGTACGGTCAGGAAAACCATCTTTTTTACTTGAAAATTGATCGCGTTTGATCTGAGCTCTGGTGCGTGACAGTAATCGTGGCCCACTGCAGGGTCGTTATTAAAAGGATTGTCAAGTCAGAAGCTCACTCATGTCATTTCTAATACACCTTTGCGCAAGAGGCAGCTGAAGGCAGGCTGGAAATCCAGCCAGAGCAGCTCCTGCATCCGGAGAAAATTCCCTTTGGGTGGCTCATATGGGTGCACCAGCTCCAGGGGGTCAAAGGGGGCTTGCAGGGCATGTCCAGATGTTGCTCTGTGATGGAGCACAGAGACTATTCTTCTTCAGAGGGCTGGGCTGGCCTTTGGGCTGAGGAAATCTTACAGGATGGTGTAAATAAGGAAGAAAATAACACCCCAGAGAAAGTGTGGGCTTTCCATGGCTGGCCACAGCTGTGCCACGGGGACCTTGTGCCTCGCAGGGAGGCTCTGCAGTAACTGTGCAGCAGCGGGCTGCAGGCAGGCAGCAGGTTACAGCAGGGACAGATGGCAGCAGGGATGTGGATCCAGACCGTGGGAAGTGCTGCCAGCCCTGGGGACAATTAGTCACGTCGGGAGTGGGTGCGCGGAGCCGCTGCGACGGGGTGAGTGAGGGAGAGTGGGGGCCTGGGGAAGGGGAGGCTGGAAAGGGGGAGACTCAGCGAGTGAGAGGCATGGGTTAGGTCTCCTGACAGCAAATAAAAGCATGGATAGAAAGTGAACATGAAAGAGGGTGTTAATTTGGTTCCAATAAACCTGTCCACAGCCTTGGAAGTAATCTCTTCACTTTCATCCCACTGCTTAACCAGCGTGGCTCTGCAGAGCTCATAAGCAGGAGAACTTCTGGTCTGCAGGATATCCCACAGCTATTTTTCTTTAGTTTCTGGTCTTCCTTTGAAACTGATTTTTTTTTTCCCCCCTATGGTTCAAAATTTCTCCAAATAGTACATTTGGGAATACCATTTTTGTTTTTTTCCAAATTCACTTTGGCTCATTGCACCACAAAACCAAGGCAGAAGCCCCTTCCATGGAGGAGGCTGCTCAGTCCCTGCTTCCTGCGGTGTCTGATGTGCTGTGAGCACTGCCCAGCTCCCTCTGCAGCAAGCCACGGACTGGCAGAGGCCGAAGTCTGCAGCATTTCCTTAATGATTATCTCTGGGATGGGCAGATGCAGATAGGACCTTGTACTGCTGTTCTTTCAAGTACCATCCACTCTGTTTCTCCCTCTCTCTCTCTCTCTCTCTCTTTTTTTTTTTTTTTTTCTTTCCTTTGTATCTCAAAGGACAACAGATTAAGCAACACGGGGACAGATGAGAATTCCCCCATAGAACCCATGTTCCTAATTAGTTTCCTAAATACATAACAAGGTGCCACAGCTGTAGTATGGATCTAGCTGACCTTTCAAGTTGTAGAGTGTACTTATTAAATGCCAAGCTGCCTGAAAAACATGCAGAGCATGATTTTCTTGCCTCTTCTCTATTATATGGGTTTTCTGAGGGGTGGAGATGAAGAGGGTGCTTTACCAGAGCAAGGGCAGGCAGGATTATAGAGGCTGAAGCACAAACAGCACCCGTCTCACAGTGAAATTAACTTTGGAGGAATTATTAGGCAAGGAACGAACTGGCTGAGGCCTTTCAGTGCTAAGGGTTTTGATCTGGCTCTGCGAAAACCAATAAATCACTAAGTGCTATAGACTCATCGTGAGTGCCTACAAGAAGCCAAAGCATCGTTGCCCAGGGCTGGAAGGGAGGCACTGAGCTGGTGGCCGTGCAGGGAGGAGACCCAGGAACCTGGCAGTGGGACAGATCTGCTCTGACAAAGTGTCCCAGGTGAGGTTCCAGCCCAGGAACACAGCCCTGACATCCACGGTGTGGAAGAGCCATGCCAGCCTGCTGGAAGGGAAACCCAGTGGGCATGGTGTTAGGACCAGAGCCCTGAGCCTGTACCATTATACGTGGTACAAAAAGGTTTGGAGAAACCATGGCCGTGGTCCAGCAGTGCTTCATCACTCCAAGGGAGGAGCAAGGCGAGGTGAAAAGGCCAGCAGGCCAGGCACACTGAGCCTGAGCCTCATTCTTACGCAGATTTTGTGCATCCACGAAGCCATAATGCGGTTTAGTGATGCAGTCCCGAAATAGCCCGCTTGTCCATCACGAAACCCTCGTTAAGTCAGCCTCCGTGCTTATTTAGGGAGCTGGTAATTTCCTTCAGCCCGGCTTCCCCGACCAGCTAATCACCTGCCAAGGGGCTGAAGGTGACAGACTGGAGGAGGGAGCACAGAGCAACGAGGAAACATCACTGCAGGTGGTTTTTAATATCCAAGAGGCAGCGGCAGACAGGAGAGTGATGGAAAAGTGTGGACATGGGCAGCTCATCTGCCAGGAGCTGCCTGTCCTACAGGCAAACAGATGGGCCTTTCAGCACTCATTTCAGCAGGGAATCAACCTGCAGTGTTACATTAAAGGGGAGAAAAGTGCCAAACGGTGAAGAGCTGGCCCGGAGGACGGGGAGGGCAGTGTCCCTGCAGCAAGCTATCGCTCCTGGGGAATTTCCCTGCTTCTCTTATCGGTAGCCTTAGCAGTGAGCTGTAAGACAGCAGGACTCTGAGGGCAAAGTTTCCAAGCTATTCCCCATAGAAACGTTTCATTTGCAGCTTGTGCCATGCTCTAAACTCAGTAGATATGCAGTGCATTGTGGCTTTGTCTATATAGGCTGCATAAAATACGGTTTTTAGTGCAGCCAAGAGAAGGAATCACCCGTTCCTTGAATCCCCAAATTCAGTGTTGCTTTTCAAGCAGTAATAAAACTGTGAAGAATCTCCTATCACTCCCATTACCTTGGCCTCCCATGGAATCAATTTGCCTGGCAAGTGTCAGCAAGACGATTCCCCTCGATGATCTCTTCCAGAAACACCAGCTCCCCCTTTTTTTAAATGAGCACTTCAACTTCTGACATGACCTCAGGAGCCCATGGCCTTATTTTATTTCCTTCTGCATCCCTCTCAAACATCCAGGGAAACATGCTCAGGTTTCAGGGCTGAATGTATTTTGGAAATGAATTTTCTATTTCATTACCCCGCCTAAGACCTCTGAAAAGATATGGTAAGGAAGTTAATTCTTTCCTCCCTTTTATTGCTGGTTAGCAATAGGCTATTAACAAAAAGAGATGTGGAAACTCCCCTTGCTACATTAGATTTATTTTTGCTTGTCTCTTTAATGGACTCCGGCTGCTTCTCAAGGGCCCTCTGTCTAGTCAGAATTGCTTTTTTCTGCTAAGCAAATCGCCCTTGTGCATTAATAGGCTTTAATTGCCCTGAGCAGCTTCAGCTGGGACACCCACCCATGCACCCTCTGCACATAGGTCTGGGGGCTCCATTTAAGCTCAGGGCATAGCTACCAACCTCTTCTCTAGTCCTGGGGCTTAGCTAGGGAGGGATAATTTTGTCTCTCTCATTTCTGATTCTGTTTCCATAATGAACCCTGGATGTGTGTTGTAAGTAACTTGCCCTGTTTCCTTCTGGGGGCTCCCTGGGTGGGTGTGGGGTCTGATTTATCACCTTGCCTCATGTGGGGCTGTCAGTGGACTGTCACCTGCACCCTGCTCTGCTTGCCTTGTTGAGGTGCTGGGGTGCTGTGCCCTGGTCTGTGAGGGCCCATGGAGCTCCTCTGCCCCCTGCTTGCTGTCCCCTGGGGAGCAGCCCAGCTCTTGCTGCTCCCAGACACCCAGCCTCTGTTTTTGGTTGAATAGTGATGTGCAAATTGACAAATACAAGTGCCAGCTTGAGTATTTACTGAAGGGATTAAGTGTTCTTTTACCTCCTCTTTTGGTTCCTCCTGTCCCATTGCCTGGTATGACTCTAAGCTCCTTCCCCCAGCTTAATGGGTGCTGTCCTGCCCCTCCTGCAGGAGCTGGGCTTTGAACCTGAAAGCTGTGGGAGGTGGGAGGAAGCTCCTGCCTGATTCCAGCAGGATTTGTTCAGTTATCATCAGTGTCTTTGAGTATCTCTGGATCCTGCTGCCTGTAATAGGATCTGGCCAAGGGGAGGATGTCCTGACCCAGAAGCAGAGCACGCGTTCCTCCAAAAAGCACCATCCTTTCTCTTGTCTATTTCTGTCCTCCAGTGCCCTTTAATCTCTCTTCCAGAGAGGATGCTGCCTTTTCTCTCTCCCTTTCTTCTTGCTGTTAAGTAAGTATTTACTTTAAGTGAGAAGAGGGGGTGAGCAGCAAGGTTAAACTAATGACTCTTACCCAGTGAGAGACCCATTCCCTGCCCACATCAGGGAGCATATTGTTTTGGCAGTTGATTTCAGGTTGCTTCTCTTCCTCATTCCCTTTGGGGATCTGACAATATTATTAGACGTTGGTTTGTAGATTATTCTGCACGGCTTCCCCGTGGTGCCTGTCTCAAAAGGTCCTTCGTAGCTCCCAGCTGCAGGGTGACAGGAGAGGCTGTGCACCGTGCTGTGACAGGGACCAGTGGGCACTGAGTCACCACTCCCAGCCCTTGCTGCTGCTTTCTGCCCCTCTGATGTGGGCAAACGCAGGACCTCCCCCCTCAAAGCACCCTTCCTGTGCACGAGCTTCATTTTGTTTGGGGGTGGCTGTGACTGCTGGCAGTGTTTGCGGGAAATAATTGTGGGGAGAGGGACACGTGACAGAATACAAGAGATTTTGGAGTGCTAATCTTAGGGTCAGTTTTGGTGTATCTCAGGGTCCTGCTCATTCAAGCCCTGGCACCAGTGCTGCCCCACAAGAAGCTCAGGAGGAGAAGATGGCATCTCCGCAATGATCTGAAGGCCTCTCCTTGGAGCTGACCCTACAGCTGCTTGTGAGGTACCTGAGCCCTGTTCCAGCTCCTGGCTGGGCTGTGGGGTTACAGGGTTCCTTGCTGGGGACAGAATCCTTTGGGAGCTGGCTGATAGCCTTGCCCTGTCCTGTCTTGTGAAGGTAAGGAAATGCCACCTCCATGCTGTGACTGTGCTGTCTTCATCCTTCCAGGGACTGAGACACTACTTAGCTCTGAAACTCCTGTGATGTGGCCTGTGGGTTCAGGAAGCTATCCTAGGGCTGGAGCTTTCCTACCTTAGTGCTTCATGTCCCAAAGACCACTCTGGAGAGCACACTCCTATGCTGACTTGTTCCTACCCTACAGCTTCACTCAGGAAGCTATGGGAGAACCTGCATCTCTTAAGGCAAACTCCCCACACATTTGTAGGCAGTTTATTGCTGACAGGCTGTCTGGTCTGAGACTCCTCTGTGATTTTCTTCCCTGCGAGCCCCTGCTGGGTGCTTTCCAGTACCTCCCCAGCTGACTCTATAATCAGATCAGCTCCCTGCAGGGATCCGCAGAGGGACACTCATTCTCAGTGTCTAACTGATTGGGTTTGTTTCAACACAGGCTGATTGTGAAGAGGTTTTCTCAGGACTGTGTGGTAGCTCTGCCTTTGGAAATGGAAATGCCCTGCTATTTCAGCAGTTAATCACTGCCTTTCGCTGATGAGCCCTGGCTGTGCTTTGTACAGAGGTTTCTCTTTGGAAGTGTTTTTCCAGGTGTATTTCTCCTGTTGGAGGCTGGCTGCAGGACAGAGTGAGAAGATGCAAGCATCCACCTGCAGCCAAATATCTAGGAGATATTTTCCTGTGCCTCTGGTCATTCTCCCCTTAGGACAGTGTGCCCCTGGAGCTGACTTACTGCTGTCTTGGTTTGCATTTTGAAATGGCTCTGGTTTGGATCAGGACTGAGCACCTCTTTTATGATCCTGGCACACGTTTCTTCAAGGCTATATCCTCACTCGTCTTTAACCAGTTTCATTTACCTAGCTGCATCCCGATTTTGTTTCTCTGCACTTTCTATGACCAGTCACACCTCTGCCTGCTCACAGACCAGCCAAAGGCACGAGGTGGTGGCAGCAGGGCTGAGCTGTGAGCCCAGGCTCTAGCTGGAAACATCCTGATGGGTGGTTGGGCTCAGGACCCTGTGGGTGGACATATGTTTGTTCCCTGGTTAGTGGACCTAATCCTCCAGAAGACCAAAAGCTTTCCAGTGCTGCAGACACTCAGCCTTCTCCTAAAAACCAGGATGAGTTCATTAAAACACTGCGCTCCACGCTCAGTCCCCAGCCAGATGTATTCCCCCGATGGGCTTTCCTATTGTTTAAGCCAATAGAGCCCAGGCCTTCTCCCAGTGAGCTCAATCTCTTATATGCTGTTTCTATAGCAACCTCTTATCCTAAAAGGAGCCTGAAATCCCTTTGTAAACAGGGCTTGAGGGTATGCCCACAAACACACGTGGCAGGGAAGACAGCAGGTGCCCGGAGGGGCGCCTAATGGGAAGTCAGGAGTCATCTTGTACCTCTCTGGCTTTGCAGGATGGCTTGAGAGGCTTGTTTTTGCCAGCCCAGCTGGTGCTTTAATAACAATTCTGCTGTTCTGCACTTGGAGTGGAGGGGCCAGAAGACCCGCTGAGCCTGTAAGCAGCTCTGGCTTCAGGGCCTGGGCCTGGTTTCCTCCCTGGCCCACTGCTCTCGGCCTCCTGGCAGCTTTGCATCCAAGGAGGCCTTGATCCAGCATCCCTGGGTGACAATGGAGGGATTCATGTCAGCTTAAAAGGGATGTGTCATATATCAGCAGGGCCAAACTGCTTTTTCAGCAAGATAAGCTAAGCCTGATGCACTGTTAGGGTAGAAACACTGAACGCAGATATGGCCTTGTATTTGTGATGGCCTGTAAATGCTGCTCTCGTGGTTAAATTCAGCACAGGCCACAATTCCTCTGAACACAGCTTAACAACACAGCTGTCCCCCAGGGACCCTGAAGTCCTTTCTCTGGCTGTGACACTGCACCACTAGTGCATGCTGAGTGCATTTACCAATGTTTATTGTTCTTTATTTTGGTGATGGTAGTGCACACAGGCAGCAAGGTTGGTGATCATACGAACAACTGGTCAGAGATGGGTCTGCCTTCGGGAATACAGAAACTTGAACCCTTTAGCAGTGTGTACCTGGTACCATCTGATGCCTCTAAGCTCCTCAGAGGCTCTGTGGGACTCAGCTACACAAGAATATTGTTTTTATGCTTGTCTGTGGATTCTGATGGGAAATTTCCCAGGGGAAATTTCACTGCAGAAAGAATACTTTCCTTCCTTATTCTTAGGGTGGATAAAGGGATGGAGGAAAGCCCACAAGAAAGCTCTGAAGAAATCTTTCTGGACCCTCATTATCACTATGACTAAGGAATGGATGGACACCCACAATATATTTCAGGCACTGCTTTAGCAAGGTGGTGATCCCCCTCAGCACACAGGCACTCCAAATCAGCTGGAAACTGAATTAAATGTTTGATGACAAGGTTTCCAGCACAGACCATAACAGCTCTTCGTAGCTGAATTGAGGACGGCTGAAAATGTCAGGAAAGCACCTATACAGGTGTCAAACTGCTCTCTGCAAGCAGGCACAGCACAAGGGAAGGCTGATGGACTCATTGCAGAGCCACTATTTCACCTCAAACTTTTCCTGCAAGTCCTCAGCTGCTGATTGTGCTTGGCTTTAATGTGCTGATGGACTTGTGAGGGTGTGGTTCTGCCCATGCCTGTTGTGGAAGAGCTGTGTGGGTGATTTTGAGGACTCAGAAGATGTTTAAGCAGTTAATCGGTTCTCTCAATGGGGCTGGAGGGCTTGTGGGAGGGTAGCCTCTGGTGTAGGAGCATTAAACAATTGGCAAAACATTATGCTGATTATTCATGTATTAATTGGCAGAAGAAAAAGCTCTGGGGGAGGCTCAGACTGCTAATTTCCATCCTGACACAGCACTGAAAGGTCTCCCCAAGCAAAATCTACTCCCTTGAGAGCTTTCCTTCAGCTTAGTTGTGACTCTAATAACACCCAGGAGACTCCTCCTGGGGTTAGCATCCCTGGTTAGACAGGGTGAAGTGGTGGTGTCTTTGCATGACTATTCATTTCCTGCTGGGGTCCTTATGGGGTTATTCCCAGTGCTGCATTTATGACACTTGGGTGTGAGCCCAGACAAAGCCACCAGCTACTCTGCCCTACAAAAGTGTCTCCTCTTCCTTGCAAAATGCAACTGGGGACTTTCAGCTCTCAAATGCCTGTTGCTTGGTGAGAAGAAAGCCAGGAACCAGCACTGCTGCGGGTGAAGAGTTCATCCCCTTGCTAAGCTGCTCGGTGGGAAGGTCTCTGCCAGCTGTGGAGAGGGTGGAAGGCAGAGGAGATGCAGCTGTTGCTTGGAGACAGGGAATGACAACAGATGAAGTTTGTTTTTTTTTCCTCACAAGCTTGTGACTGTCTGTACCTGTGAAAAATGGACTCCAAACGCCAATACACAGGGGAGCGAGGTGTGAAAACCCTGACCTTGGAGGCGCTGGGAGTGTGACTGTCGTGGTGCTTCATTTATTTTGCTGCAGTACTTTGAGGGGATGCTGCTGGCCAGAAGCTGAGCTCAGTTTCAAGCCTTTAGCATAGATTAATCTTGAGATCCCCTATTTTTATTTTAAATAGTTGCTTATTGCCAGTCTAAACAGTCTGGTGCTGGGCCATGCTCCATCCCAGGGGTGATGTGGACATGTGGGTTTCCCGTTGTAAGGAAGTTGGTCAATCTGTGAATATCATTGTTTTGCCACAACAAAGTGTTTTGATGTGGGCCAGGGATTAAATTGCTGTATGGCATGAAATCATCCCTTCCTGCTGCCAGTGAGGGGCCAAAGGCTAATTCATGGCAGTAATAAGCCTTCACCAGTGGAGGAGCAGTTATGAAGTCTTATCTGCCTCACCCAGACCTTTATCAGGGCAACCCCGCTTCCAGCAAGAAACAAGTGAAGTAGGAAGAGCAACACCCCCTGCTTACTTACAGATATTTGCCTTTTTAATGAGAAGAAATGAGTAAGAACAAAGTGCTCCAGGCCTGATGCTTAGCTAAGCCTGTGTGCGCATTGGTAAATGTTCTTCCTGCAGGATCAAGCCTGGTCACAGCTGTGTGGGAATGGTCTGAGCTGGAAGACTAAACCATGTGAGCTCCAAGTGATCAACGGAGAGATTTCCTGGCTCCTCAGCACAAGGAGCAATGGCTTGCACTGACTTCATCTTTCCATGGGAAGCTTTCCTTGTGCTTGTCGGTCTGGCTGCTTGTCTGGGTTACTGCTGGGGTGATGGATGATGGTTTGGATGCTGTCCTGAAAAATGTAGCCTTGGGCATGCAGCATTGCCTTTGGTTGTGTGCAAAGGACCATGCTCCCTTCTGGTCCCCTGGCAAAGGAGATGGATGGCCCTGAGCTTCCCAGAGCAAAACTACCCTGCTTCTCTGAGCAACCCATGAGAAAATGAGAATTTATTGGAGGAAACTAACTGAAGAATATGGAGGGTTGAGGTGGAAAGCCTTCCAGAGCCAGTATCCAAGCAGGTCTAACTGGGAGCTGGGGTGTTAGCTGTGTGGCTCAGTTGTGTGGGGTTGGAAGAAAGATGCTGAAAATGTTTGGTATTTCAGCCCAGGACTGGGTCCCCGGGCAGGAAACGAGCTAGGGTTACCACTTATCCCTCTTCCTCCAGTCCAGCCTGGAGGTCCTGTAAAGGTCCCCAAGAGTCTCTTTGAGAAATGACATCTCAAATGACATCTACCTCGAACTGGAGCTTTGGGAGGTGCTTGATGCTGATACCTTGACAGGACAAATTGGGAAGAGGGCTCAGCCCTAGCCTGCCCTGTCCTGTAACTCTGTGCTGGCTTCATCCTGGATGAGGGATATTGGTACTTTAAAAACAAAACCAAAAACAAGCAAAAAAAAACACAAACAAACAAAAAAAAACAACTGAATCCTACAACAAAATACTAGTTTTCTGTTTCTTTGGGGTCTAAAAATATATAAAGTGGGGCTCTCCCAGAGTGATGTCAGGTCTCATCACAGCAGGGCTGTCACTGGGATTGTCCCATCTCTCTGTTCCAGTGGCACATGTGCAAACTGGCAGCCTCCAAGCCTCCAACTCTGGAGCTATTTGGGTTGAAATTGGTTGACCAGCTCCCAAGCTGAGTGTGAATTGACATGCAGGCAGTCCCACACAGCGTGCTATTGTGTCTTTAGAAAACCTGGTTAATAACAGTAATAAACCCAGCAGCTTTATGGCTCCGGCGATGTATCAGCATGCTGTCACACTGATGGCAAAACACTTCAATTCCAGCAAGCAGAAAGTGATGGGCCTGCGGAGAGACATATGTTCCTGCTCTATTATTTTTATTGTTAATGGCAGGGTTTTTGAAAGCCTCCCATTTCCTGCTCACACCTGGAAGAGAGGAGAGCTGCTCCCACGGGGCGGGAGGGCAGGGGGCTGGCAGGGACAGCCTCGGGGGGGCTGCTGCTGGCAGGGATTTGCTGCTGAGATTATGGTTCCCTGGGTCCTGTCCTGACCCCATGCATAGGGAGAGCCCCTGGGTCCTGATCCAGCCCCATGGAGCCTGGAGGGTCCCTCCTGGCAGGGTCACACCAGGACCCAGCCCCTGGCCCTGGGGCTGTCGCCTACATGAGACACCAATTTGCTCTGTGCTCAGAAATCCTCAGAAGCTGCTAAATCCGAGACCTTTGGAGAGGCATGGAGAAGCCTGTAGCCTCAGCACTCATAGTTGTGGAGTGACAGCTGCTGTTCCCAAGCATTAGAGGGAAGTGTCACCCCGTAATGGCAGCAGAGAGTGCACCTGGGCTGGTGATGAATTGCAAATTACCGGTGTGTTTTGTAGCAGGGCAGCTTCTCACTCTTCCCTCCACCCCCAGGGAGGAGACATCTCTCCTGGAGATCAAAACAGGCTGGAGTTAGGGACCAGGGGAAGAAGCCTCTCCACCCAGGGAGCCCTGTAAATGGCTTTGCGTCTCCCTGGGGGATAGGGGGATGCATGTGGATCTGCTCTCCATTTCCAAAAAAAAAAAAAGCAGGGAGGGTTGGAGGCAGCGAGACAGAGTTCAGGAGGGAGCCGTGTGCGTGGGTGGAGGCGCTGACAAGTAAGAAAAACCTCTCATCTCAGAAAATGCAACCTGATGAATGCCAGGCAATGGAGGAGAGAGCTGGGGTTTCGGTGCCTGGCAGTCAGATTGGGGGGAGCTGATGAGAGCAGGAGGGCTCTGATCCAGCAGCACCTGTACGCCTCCTGGGGGCTTAAAACTGGGCTGGTGCTGAAGTGGTGGGGTGAGCAGGTCTGACTTGTAGGTGGGGGGGATGGCCCAGCCTCCCTCAGCAATGATTTCCCCCCACCATGGCAAATTTGGTGCCTTTAATTTGGATGTGCTGGTGTAGGGGTCCCTGCCCTGCTGCAGGTCAATGCCAGCATCACCTGCGTGACCTCCGTGGCCTTGAGTGAGGGTAAAAGGGAGGAAATGACAGGAATCATCCCTGCAAATCCGTGTGCTGGGCTGGTCTCAGTGATCAAAGGTGACATCGGAGCAGTGCTGGGCTCAACTTCTGGAGGGGACACAATCGCATCACCATAAATACCTTCCCCTGGTGTCCCTCCTTGCAGCCTGGCTGTTAGAGCTGGGAATGGGGCTCCTGGGGAAGCTCTGACTCCGTCACAGACTCAGCGCCCTTGCCATGAAGTGGCTCTCTTTGTGTCCCCATGCTGAGATCTGCCAGACCCCAGTGGTGCCCTGCAGAGCCCTTTCCCCATCAGTGGGGACAGCAACAGAGCTGAGGGCTTCTCCAGCCCATGGTGGGTGTAGGATCAGCCTGAGCTGAGTAACGCTAATGAGCAGCTGATTAGTGTAATCACAGCTTCACCTGTGCATCAGGGGAAGGGGGCATTTCCTAATCACCTGCTGGAGGGTCCCCAAGGTCAAGGAATAACTCAGAGGTTGGAGCTGGCATCCTGCACCCCCTGGCCATGGGCACCTCTGTCCCATGGGTGCTGGCAGAGCTGCCGGGGGCAGGAGGTGGCTGTACCCTGCTGGAGGAGGACGGGGACGGTTGCATAAGCCACGCACCCTCCTCCCGCATCGGCATTCATGCTGCGCAGCCCCTATTATTGGGCTTGCAAATGACACTAATTTCCCTTCCCGAGCCCTCCCTATAATTTAGCAGCAATGTCCTGTACTCAGATATTATTAGCTGCATCTTACGTGAACAGTTGCCCTCTTTCTGTTGGTTGGGGGGAGATAATGAGTTTAATAGGGCCAGCAGACCCGGACCAAGCACCTCTGCCTTTGTTTTTTAATTGACCATGCTGGCCGGGGTGGGAATGGCATCGCACAGGCTCTCACCCCTCCTTGGCTGTCACCAGCAGCTCAGAGGCGATCCCAAGATCTCTGCACTGCAGGAGCGGGGTGTCTTAGGAAGCCACCTGCAAAGGCAGCAGTTGTAGGGCTCTCTGACCTCTGGTAGCTGTGATATTTCCAGGCCCGTTGCTCCTTCAGGCTCAAAGCCACCCAGCTCTTTGGCTGCGCCCCATTCCTTTAAGGTTTTATTGTGCTTGGCTGAACACAAGGTGACCTCGAACCCGAGGAACACACGTAGACCTGTGCGTGGTTTGTCAAGAACAGCAAGAAAAACAAACGGGTAGGAAACAAGCTCCAGATACACTGCCCTGCCCCAGCCCATTGTACTGTGACCATCTCAGCCCGTGCCTCTCTGCCTTCCTGCCCCTACACGTGCCAGTACAGCATCCCGTGCACCGCTTCCAGCACAGGACAACGTGCAGGGGATGGAAACCCTTGGCCAGGAGTTGGATAGTGGTGCTGGAAGCACAGCTTTGTCTCCCAGGGCATTGGACAGAGAACGTTTTCCTCCTCCCGCGTAGTCCTCAGGAGACTCTTACTGGTGATGGACAAAGAATTGATGCTCCCACTTTGTTAATTTTCCGTGCCTTCTTTTACTCAGCAGTGCCACGGGTTTGTGGATGGGATTTCCTTCTGGCTAAGCAAACACACCAGCGATGCAGTCTGTACAGGAGGGCTGAGAAGATCATCTTCTGCTGACCCCTCTCTTCCTATTACCAGCCTTCCCCTGGGCAGGTGCTCAGCTCCACAGCGGGGACCACAGATGCTGGCTTTTTTCTCTCAGCTCGGTTTCTGCAAGAATGTAAAACTCCCGCTGGTAATTAAAGATAAAACCCAGGGCTTTGCTGCAGGCCATCTCCACTGGCAACCCAGGATCATAATCTGAAGCTTAGCAAAGGTTTCACTAATTTCAAAGCGGGAAGGGCCACGGGGCTGGGCTCGGTAACAAAGTGAGGGAGGAACCCCTGGTGGATTGAGTCGGATCAGCTTGTGCTGCCGTCTCCTCTGGCTTTGATTTGGTTCTCCTGGGAAGGCACCCAGCCGGCCCCGCTCCTTCTCCCCGTCTCTGGAGGTTGCTCCACCAGCTGCCTTCAAAGCGCCCGAGTTTGGCAGAGATCTCTCTGAAATATCCCACGCTCACCTGAGAGTGCAAAAAAATAAAGGGGAGAGGAGGAAAAAAGCAAGGAGAAAAACTCCGTGGGCTTTTGGAAAGGCCTGATGGACATGTCCCCAGCCAGCTCTGGGACATCTCTTCCAAGGAGCTCCCAGCATGGCCCAGTAAAGGGGCAGAGTTCACTGCAGCGCTCACTGGTGTATGCTGGTGGTGCAGCAGATCTCTGTGCAGACATCCCCACGGCAGCTCAGGCCAGGGATGTCCCATCCTGCTAGGGTGCTGGCCTCCTGCTCAGGGCAGGTGCCAAGCCCATGAGGCTGGGGAGGTCATCCAAGCTGGAGGTTTCGTTTCTCCCACCTACCCTGTGCTGTGCCCAGCCAAAACATCCCTTCCAGAAAAAACAAAAAACAAAACAAAACAAACAAACAAAAAAAAAACACAGAAGTATCTGCCTGTGATCTGAAACCACCAGAACCTGGAGACCTCACTGCTCTGCTGGGCATCTCGTTCCAGTGGCTGAGCTGCAGCGAGGGAAATAAATAAACATCTGCTCACGTTATTTGCATTTCTCTGACTCTCAAAACAGCCCTGTCCCTGCCGGACCGCAGAGCCTGGGGCAGGTGTCTGTGTGGGACGTGCAGGTCCCCTCCTTTTGCTCTTGGAAGGCAGGGGTTTGGTTGCAGGAGCTGAGCTCGGAGCAGGACAAGTGACAGCAGGCAGGGTGAGGTGCCAGGAGATGCAGCTGGGAGTTTCCCTGCGTGCTATCGGAGCCGTCGATCTCCACAACGTCTGTCTGGAAGGATGTGGTGGTGGTGACAGCTTCTCTTTCCTGGCCAAGATCCTCCTGTGGGCTGGATTAGCACCAGCTCCCCTGGCTCGGGGTGTGCTACAACCCCTCCAAAATAAACAAGTGAGCTAGTGGAGGACGTGAGCTCAGAGGTGCTCAGTAATTGCACAGTTTTTTGTTGGAGATGATGGGCTGCTCTTTGTCGCTGCTGGGATAAGGCATCAGGGCGTTTTGTCATGGGAGTGATAAAAAGAAGCAGGTTGGGGCTGGCAGGGAGGCAGCTGGAGCACAAGGGGTGAGGGTGTCCCCTCTGCTCAGCCTGGTGGACTCTCTTCTCCTGTTTTCCTACCATAAAACAAACAAACACCCCCCAAAAATGATAAATTGATATTTTTGATAGCTCCAAACTGGTTTTAATGCAGCTCTAGCCATTTGCACCAGAGGAGAATCTGGCCTTCTGTGCCAAAATGACCAAGCTTGCAAAGATGACTTTTTCTGTTTCCTTTGGGTGAAGAACACCTCCTCCTGAAGCAGTCAGCTCCTTTCTGCTGCCCAAAGCCGCGTTTGGGTCTTGCAGGCTGCCTTCTGATCTGCTGCTCCTAATCTCTAAGCAAATATTTGGAGAGTGAAAGCTAAGGAGAGGCCAACAGCATCAAACTGTAGGGGTGGGGTAGGTGAAAAGGGTCCGGGTGTGTGGTTGTGCTGATTCCCAAGCCTTGCTATCCCATCACCCCTGCCAGGATTTCCTGCAGCTCGGAGCAGATTGCAGCCAGGAATGCTGCTAACGAGACAGCTGTGAGAGATGTGAAGGATGGGAGCTGCTGCATGGTCCCCAGAGGGGGGTCTGGGCTTCTGGAGATTGCATGGGCTGTGGGGAGGCAGTCCTGGGGTGGAACGGGGGGATTTGAGCTTGGAACTGGATCTCAGCCCCACTCCTGTTAGCAAGAAGTTATCAGGAAAGGGCGAAAGAGCAGAGCAGGGGTTGTCTCTGGGCCACTGTAGAAATCCATAAATCTTGAAGATGATATGTTCTCATCCCCAGCCCCAAAGTGCTCATCTCCAAAGGCAT